GGGTTGGGCAGGCCAGTCGGGTGTTCTAGCGCCTTGGGGATGTGACTGCGGTTGCAGCCTCCGGGCTTCGTAGGTACCTTCCCTCCACTAGCGACTTGGACGTTAAAGAAAAATACCAAAGAGATAATAATAAACCATAAAGGAACAAAGATGGTTACGGATGCAAAAGATTAACACGGATTACAAAGGACGAGCTTTTAAAATTTAAGGCTTAACTTTTCAAGGTGCGCAAACCGTGACGTAGCTCCTTTAAGATAATCCGAGGGGTTCTACTAAACATTCTTCCTTCTTGCGACACTGAGCCAATCAGAGCATACTGCCAAGTTTAATAATAACTGAGTGAAAACTGACCATCGTGTGTTTTTCTCACATAGGATGATGCTGCTGACGACAGACCTCTCCCAGCATTAAACAAAAGGTTATAAACGCAATATGGAGTTACAAGAGTTTTGTTTCATTGTTTAATTTTAGATTTCTGATGTCTAACATGTCTCGTACACTTACCACTCAATTTTCATCAATAATAAATAAAACCGGTAGAGACAGACGGGCGAATGCCCTTTCATTTACTTCATGGATTCTCAGCTTCAATGTAACATTACTTGCAAAAAATTTTGGGCGATTTTAATTTCTGACAAAAACATTGTCTGAAAATAAGACCGTCCGAAGATTTAAGCTTCCGAAATATTTAGAGTACAGTATAAAACTTTGAAGAAGCTCCAAAGCTCTTAGTTTTCTTTATGGCGGGCTTTATGGAGTGAACTCTAGTTGAGACACTGCTTGACATATGTAACGGCTTGGTAGAATTTGTGTTATTTTGTCGTCGCTGCATTCGTAAAATCTTGAGAGTTCATCATCTTTTGACGTTGTTTCAGTCTAATTCTTGTTTTGTATGCATAAATTTACTCTAGCTATGTTTCGGCAAAGTGTCCAAAATTTGTTTGAAATGAGATAAGAAATGTCTGAAAATGAAACGTCCAAATTTTTTTTGCAAGTAATGTATTCTTGTACAGATTTTTAACCTGTTCTAGGATCTTAGACAGTTTGTGTGCCAGTGGGGAGTGAAAGAGGACTGAGGCGAGCGAGAGAATGACTAATCAAACACCTGGAACAGGCTAACAGATTTCAGGCAACTAAACAAGCATGATGTTGAACACTTTGGATTACATGTTGTCATGTTATTTCTTGCATATTTAAGATCTCCAGAAGCTGAACCAGAGGTGGACAGTCCAAAAGAGAATGAAACAAATTCAGGGGGTAATAATTTAATATATTAACACCAGCACCAATCGCAGTGTTTTTATAATTCCAGTGGCTTTAGGATATATGTGTGCAATAATGCCACTGGTAATATTTGAAGTTGTTCACAATAACTGAAAAAGTGAAAGAGGTTACAATCAGTTGGCTTATGACCATTCACAGTGTAGTTTGATAGCAAGTTAGCATGTCACAAGAACCTTATGCACTCTGTATTATTTTGTAACTGGAGTCTTTAGTTCCCTTTAGATGTATTTACCCTCAATGAGTTGTCTTCAGTCTCGGTTGTCTTTGCAACATATTCTTGTTATTCCATGGTAACATTGCAGGTTATAACAACAGTAAGATTTGTATTGATTGACAGACGGACCTGAGCCCTTGAAAGAGAATGATCTCAGGACTGCAGCATTTGTCATTGAAGTGTTTGGAGAGGACCTGGTAAGTACGCGATTGTTCATCTACTAAAGGTGCGACAACTTTAAAAAAATAATATTGAAAACTGGCTTCATTACAGCTTTGTGATTGCCAGATTCCAAAACGTAGATCCCAAAGTCTGAAATAAAACAGAATTCTATTTTCTTTTGCTTCGCGCAGCCCAATAGAGAGCATTTCTATTGTAAGTAAAGGAGACAAATAATTCACCAAATACTGGAGGAAGCCGCCAGCAATCGAGTTTATTAACAAGAATCTGAGACACGCTGAATACAGGATACAAGCCAGAGAATAAAAGAAGAAGTTACACGCTATTTCACACAACGATAATTACAATAAGGAAAAAACAGCCTCGAGTAAACTGGTCGGCGTCAAGTGGTGTGATATACACAAGGAGTAGTATATAAAGGTCTGGTTATCCCAATGGAAAATAATGCAAAGCAACCTAATCAAACACTTAAAAGAAATACATTTTCATGTACTGATCGTTTAGGTTCAACATGCGTATTCAAAGCAATGGAAATATCGTCAGGAAGCCATGGAGACCCTTGAGAAGGAAATGACTTCTGACAGCCCTGAACTGGCATCAGACAAGGATCCCAAGACTGTTGTCAAAGCGACTGTGTTCCTCATCCAGAAAGGAATCAAGGATCAAGTATTCTCAGTAAGCTTGTTGCTAGGTTCTTTAAATAATTAAGAAATTCTTTACTATGTAACTTTTCGACATTAAAATCTTTCATTAAATCTTTTTTACACTTTTAATAAGACTTGTAAACGTCATATGTAGTGAAATGCCGATCAAGGATGGTAACGTAATTTTCAACTGCAAAGGGTGATGTTTTCCAGGTGTTTTTTTCATGTAAGCCAAACTGAATACGTATGTTTTGGACCGTTTTTTATCTTGATGTTTTTGTGGCCGGTAACAATCGTTTTTTCATCTAAATCTGGAGAACTGCGCATGTATAAAAATGCCACGTAAAAGTACTTATCATGATTTGATCACCACAGATTTCGCTGTAGGTTCGGTCAAAAGAGTGCTCTCATTATGACTAGTACCTTCGCCCGTGTACCAAACACTCCCAGAAAACAATTGTCAGCCAACTTAATAATTTCCTTGTGGTGTTCTGGGATTATCTGATACAGTAGCGAAGGTACTTAAAATGAAGTGACTTAAAATGCAGCACTGAAAACTCGCCGTGATGGTGCCCCTTAAGATCCCATCATATTTAGTTTAATTGACACTTTCAAACATGCGTAGTTGAAAAAGGATTGTGACACCCCTCTCATAGCTTCAGTGCACTAATGCAGGAGTTTTAATAGAACTGGACCATTATAGTAAGATTTCCATCAAAGGAAATATGCTTCTTGGGATCTGAATCTTCGTTATCATGCTCGTGATAAGTCCCCTGGAGCTAAATGATTTTATCTTTAACTGAATGCCGGACTGTTGCAGGTGTTTAATGCCTGTCTTGAGGTGCTACGTTCCCTGATCAAGACGTACATTCCTCGGCACAAGTAAGACTTTCGTTTTATTACGTTGTGGTAAAGTATGCTTACTCTTTGTGGAGCTGTTTTACTTACCTTCACGATGTTCAATTTACATTGAAACGTTTAGTGGCCTAGAGTGGTTGAAAGACTTGCTTTAAGTTGTTGAAACATACTCTTATAAATACTGCTCTGCTGATACGAACAGTAATCGAATGAATGTGACCTCAAATGTTTTGTGTGGTGAACACCCTATTTTCGGTAGTTAAGTTGAGCTCCGTCCACACTACGCCGAATAAGTTTGAAAACCGAGGTCTCACCCTGAAAATGCATCAAACATTTTCCGTCCACACTACGCCGGAGAAAATTAATTTGAAAACGCCACAATTACCGGTCATTTTGGATTTGTGTTTGAGGAAAACTCCGTCAGGGAAGTCACATGATCATCGTGACGTCATCGTTTTCGAAAAGCTCCGTTTTGAAAATTTTTCCGTCCACACTAAAGCGCAAAGCCGGTGTTTTCAAATTCCCCCGGTTTGAACAGTTTTCCGTTTTCGTGACGGATTAGAGTGGACGGTAGACCTAACCGTAGAAATAAAGCTGCGT